TGCACTAAATGAGTTCCTGATATGTTGAAATGTAACTGAACATAAAAGGTTGGGAATGAGAACAAGTTGCAGATTTCAGATTATTGATTTATTCCAGCAGGATTTGCTCCAAGCTTATCGCTCAACAAAAATAAGCTATATTTAAAATTGGTAAGTCATGCGTAAACATTCCTCAATAACCTACAAAAGGATGCTGGGCTGGTAGAAATACGAGGCAGCTGCAGTCTTGAGACTGCAGAGCTAAAAGGAGCTTAATTGGGAGGGTATATTTTGGAATATGATGGAAAGAGAACAAGACATCTCATTGTGTGTATCACAGTGTGACACAGTGTGTTTGGCTGAATCAGGTAGCAGGCATTGTTTAGTTTAACGTAGTTTGTACCACATGACAGTGGCAGCTAAAGATGATCTCTTGAAACTCTGCAAAATAATTTAACTCCGAGATAGCTGTCTGTCCTCAACCTGCTAATCCTACATCTGATTAGTGGTTTCAAATGTGAAATGTGATCGTCGTGGACATGTATGACAATGCATCGCCAAATCTCATGCGCTGGCCTTCTGCCATCCCGGCTGTGTCCTCTGCAGGGATTAACTGTGAGGTGGAGATCGATGAGTGCGAGGTTCGTCCCTGTCAAAATGGCGCCACCTGCCGAGATCACGTTGCCATGTACTCGTGTGAGTGCGTGGCTGGGTTCCAGGGGCGAGACTGCGAAGTCGACATTGATGAATGTGCCAGCTGGCCCTGTCGAAATACAGGAACATGCATAGATGGTGTGAACAGGTAGTATTTCTTTCAATATACTGAATATACCCTGGATGTCATTAATGTGCCCCATGTGGAAAAGAAATAGAAAAAACTTATAAAAGACTTGCATCAGATGTGGCCTTCTTCATATAGTGACTCATATAAGGCTGATATGAGTCACTCATGAAAGTTTCTCATTACTTTCATATATTGTTTTATTAAATATCCAAAACATACAAGTTTCATTTATATAATTTTTCAAGGCATTGAAACACTCTTGT